AAAAAAACAAAAAACAAACAAAAAGAACATATAAAATCAACCAGAAAATTATTCTTTCAATCTCATATCAGCACATTTCATTCATTATTATGCCTCTTATCCACAGGGAAGACTTCTATAAGAAAACACCAATGACTTCCTGCAGTAGGCTAGCTTATGGTGGATGAAAGTTACACCAAGTGGAGCAGGAAAGTAGTATGCTGCTTAGGTCTAGGCATGCAATATCTCTCACATTTGAGCTTGTACTGATCTCTTCAAGGGTCCTCTGGAGATTCACAGGATATAAGCAGATGATACAATTGACACAAACTTCTACTGTAAGACGTATCAAGTTCATTTCTAACAGACCCCTTTTAACTTGCTTTATTCTCTGCCTGGAATGCTCTTCCTCCAGAATTCCCATGGCTGTCTCTTTCTTATCAGCTCAATGTCACGTTCATGGAGAGGCCTTCTCAGCCAGTCTGTACAAAGCAGTATCCCCACACTCAGGCCCTCTATCTCACTTCAAGTTTTATGTTTCATGGCATTTATTTCTACCTAAAGTGAACTTACTTATCTATAGATATATAGCTCTAAGAGGGCAGAGATTATTTTTTAACACACTGCCTGGAACATAATAGTAGACCCTTCATAAATATTCGTGGAGCAAATGAGTAAGCAACAGAAATTTATTGAATGTCTATTATATGCCAGTTCTGCTCTAGGCACTGGGGATGCACAGTACTCCCTGCCGCCCCCCGCCCCCTTATCCATGGGGGATTCATTCCAAGATCTCCTGTGGATGCCTGAAACTAAACTCTATATATATTGCTTTTTAATGCAAATGATAACATTCAATTTATGAATGAGGCACAGTAAGAGATTAACAACTGATAATAAAATAGAACAATTCTAATAATATGCTATAATAAAAGTTATGTGAATGTGGTCTCTCTCAAAAAATATCTTATTGTACTGTACTCACCCTTCTTCTTGTGATGATGTGAGATGATAAAATGCCTCAAGTTGAGAATTTTCACCTTTTCACTTAAAAGAACCACTTTATGATCCATTTTTGGCATAATCTGAATTTCTAGCATCAGAACTCTTACACTTTGGAGCCATTATTGAGTAAAATCAGGGTTACTTGAACACAAGCACTGTGATACCTAGGCAGTCTGATAACTGAGATGGCTATGAAGTGACTAACAGATGGGTAGCGAATACTGAGTGAATGTGCTGGCTGGACAAAGGGATGATTCACGTTTGGATGGAATGACGTGGGAAGGTCCCAGATTTCATCACACTACTCAGAATGGCTCACAATTTAAAACTTACGAATTATTTCTGGAATTTTCCATTTAATATTTTCAAACTGAGACCCTGCAAAGCCTAATGGCAGATAAGGGGGACCGCTGTTGTAATGAATCAAACAGACCACAATCTCTTGAAGTTTATATTCTAATGCAGGGAAATACAAGAAATAAAGCAGAGAAGGGGACGCTGCTTGGGTGGGGCTGTGCTATGTTAAACAGGTGATCAAGGAAGGGTCTGGCTGCAGAGACTTGAAGGCGGTGAGAAGGGAGGCACCTGAACAAGGTGAGGAAGATAAGGGCAAGGGGAAATCAGACTTTTAGCAAAGGGAACAGGAAGTGCAAAGGTCCTGAGAAAAGTGGGAGAATAATGTGGTTAAAACCAGGGAGCTCCTGGGAAAGTAGGAGATGGATCTGAGACAGCAGTTCTCAACCTGTGGGTGGTCGCGACACCTTTGGGGGTCGAACGACCTTTTCACAGGGGTCGCCTAGGACCATCGAAAAACACACATATAATTACATATTGTTTTTGTGATAACAAAAATACTATGCTTTAATTATGTTCAATTTGTAACAATGAAATTGGGGTCACAGTTATGAGGAACTGTATTAAAGGGTTGCGGCATTAGGAAGGTTGAGAACCACTGGTCTGAGAGGTACTAGTGGGGCAGTGCCAATCATGTAGTCTTGTAGGCCCCTGAAAGGACTCTGGTTTTTACTCTTTTTTGTTGTTGTTAATCCTCATGAGAGGCTATCCCCACCCCCCCCACATTGATTTTGAGAGAGAGAGAGAGAGAGAGAAACATCCATGTGAAAGCAAAACATCAATTGGTTCCCTCCTGCATGGACCTGCTGGGGATCCATCCCAT